ACGCCAATGTTTTTGTTGTATTTGTTTAACCTTTATTAAGTGTAGGAAGTGGTGCATATTTGTTTGTGAGTGATTCATATTTGTGAGAGAATGGTCCATACTTGTGAGACAGAGTGGACCAGGCTTGTCTATTTGAGAGAGTGGACAAGGCTTGTCTATCTGAGAGAGAGTGGACTAGGTTTGTCTATCTGAGAGAGAGTGGACTAGATTTGTCTATCTGAGAGAGAGAGTGGACTAGGTTTGTCTATCTGAGTGAGAGTGGACTAGGTTTGTCTATCTGAGAGAGAGAGTGGACTAGGTTTGTCTATCTGAGAGAGAGAGTGGACTAGGTTTGTCTATCTGAGTGAGAGTGGACCAGGTTTGTCTATCTGAGTGAGAGTGGACCAGGTTTGTCTATCTGAGTGAGAGTGGACCAGGTTTGTCTATCTGAGAGAGAGTGGACCAGGTTTGTCTACCTGAGAGAGTGGACCAAGGTTCTCTCTGAGAGACAGAGTGGTTCAGGCTGTCTAACAGCAGCTACCTACTTACCACAAGGTGAACAGGAAGTACAGGTATAATTAAGCACGACCATCGTTTCCATCGCCTAAGGACTGAACCCGGGACCTCGGGTAGTGAGCGAAGACACTACCACTGAGCCAGGAGCCTCACAAGGTATATAAATATGCTGTAGAACAGAGTTAAGTTTTATTCATCCAATTTACACGTGATTATACGGAAAGTATTATAAACCTATACAATGGCTGTGAAGACGTATAACTGTTATAGGTATACACTAATGTTAGATTATAGAAATTCAGCCTAGAATACCAACGAAATTTATGTAGCTCTTTTCCCTAGGTTCCTCACTGAAATTTCGCTAAAAAAAATAAATTTTGTTTTGCTCTGAGTTTTAATAACATTGTTGATTACGTCATACTCCAAGCTAACCTAATATGACCTACAAAAACTACACTTTTGTTAAAACAACATGCGGGCAGAAATGCACGTACGTCGGTTTTTACAACGGTACTAGAGCATAGTGGAGAGCACTGGACACGAGGCTTAATGAGGCTGCACGTCACTAGTCAAGGATATATTAATGCCCAAAAAATAGGGTTGAAAGTAAACCCTGGTGTCAGACACTAGTGTAGACCACAGCGAGAATACTAGTCGTAGTAGTCCTCGAAGCTACGACCTGTGAATATGGTTGGCCAGTCGTAGCTGCTGCCGTTGCTGCCCACAGCGCCCTGCAATGAACAGAAAAGTAGAAATACGTATTATATTATAATTATTATATTATAACTATTATTATATTATAATTATTATAATTAGCATTATTGCCTTTATTATTATTAATGTGGAAGCTGCAAACCCGCAGGGGTAATCAAGTTTGATCCAGGGTAGGATAACACCAGTTGTTTCACTCAAGAACCCTTCAGAAGCATTAAACTAGGTGACTGTGATGCTTGTTTAAATTTACTTCAGAAATCTCACACACACTGGAGGACATAGGAATATGGGGAATATGATAACGACGTACAAACTACCGAGAAGCATTGACAAGGTGAGCTGGGACAGTATGTTTTCGAGTTGGGAAATATGAACAAGAGGGTAAAACTGGAAGCTGAAAACTCAGAGGAGTCGGAACGGATGTTAGGAAGTATTTCTTCATCTTCAGAGTTGTCAGGAAGTGGGACAATCTGGAAAGTGAAGCGATAGAAGCGAGATCTATACATAGCTTTAAGAAGAGGTACGACAAGGCTCTTGTAACCGAGTGGACCTAGTAGCGACCAGCGAAGAAGCGGGGCCAGGAGCTTTGAATCGACCCCTGCAACCACATATAGGTGAGTAAACAGGTACTTGAAGAAAATAAATGGTATAAAATACCGACACAATGGAAACATAAACGCATATGCAGTTTAATGTGATCCTTTATTGACAACGTTTCACCCACACAGTGGGCTTTTTCAAGTCACACACAGATCTACCTGGGGTGGAAGGTACGGGAGTATTTATAGTCATGTTCAGAATGTTGAGGTCAGGTGGAGAATGCCGCATCTGATGATCTACCAGGTGGGGTTATAGAGTCTTGGGTAGCTTGGCAGGGGTATTGGACAAGTTGTGAGTAGACCTGCAGTGTTCTATGTTCTTATGTGGGATAGCGATGAAGAAGTTTCTTGGCGAGTGGTTCAGCTATGTTATAGAAGCCGTTGTTCTGGTTGAAATTGTTGGTTAAAGAGATAAGCATTCTCCACCTGACCTCAACATTCTGAACATGACTATAAATACTCCCGTACCTTCCACCCCATGTAGATCTGTGTGTGACTTGAAAAAGCCCACTGTGTGGGTGAAACGTTGTCAATAAAGGATCACATTAAACTGCATATGTGTTTATGTTTCTAAACAGGTACTTACCACGCCAGGAAAGAAAGCATTGCGGCCGCCAGCTATCCTCACGGGAGGTTTGCCATCTGGTCGTGTTGCTTGACGCTCACTCCTGCTGCTCCTCGCCTCGACACTCACTGCACAACATCAAACACACTACTTACTTTCTTATCTTAAATGTTTATGTTACAGATACTAGTATTATAAAGCTTTGTCCTTGGCAAAAGTGTCTTTGTAATTACCACTTGGGAATGTTTGATCTTTGAGGAAACATCAACGACAAGAATAATACATTGGGAGGAAACTTAGTACGACGTTTCGGTGCATTGTGGACCATTATCGTCACTACAGCTGTGACTTGATAATGGTCTAGGATGGACCGAAACGTCCTCTAAAGTTTGATAATGTGTGGGTTATTTATGAGTTAAATATAGAAAACTAAACAGGTGAGAAGTGTGGCTATAAACAGACTATATGCAGTTCATGCTTCTACCTGAACAACGTTTCGCTCAGTGCTGACTGTCATGACTCGATAAGCTAGGAATTATTTCAGGAAGAACAAGTGGTCATAAAAACGATAATGATCTTATCCTTCACTCACCACACACTAAAATCGTAGCACTTTCAACATTTTTATTTTTTAACCTTAGTATTTGTGAGACGAAGTGTTTTCTTCAGAAAAAAATCACTGAAAAAAAAAATTTCTTTACGACTTAAATTTCTGACTAAAATTTTATCTTCTAGTGCCTTTTTTTTTATTATTGAAAAAATATGATTTATTTAAAATATTTAATTTGTAATTCATCAGCGTTTTTTAAAATATTTCAATAGGTCTGCAAAATGATATGGTGATACGGGTAAGATGTGGAAAAAAGATATATATATTAGTTCTTCGTTATCTCTATTAGTCCTGGAGAAGCTACTCGTGGCGGAACGTTTCCTCTATTAAAAGTCCTTATCTGTATTTACGTGTCTTTTTCCACATCTAATAAGTCTGCCATAAAGTGTAAACACTAGAGACGAGGGAAACACCCACCTGGCAGGGCAGAGCAGACGGCAGACAGCAGCAGAAGTAAGAGCAGACATCTGCCCAGCAATGTTTTGATGGTGGCAGACATATTCACTGTGCTAGTGGTGGTAGACCTCACCACGGAGCTGTTGATAGTGATAGGTAATGTTGACAGTGACAGGTAATGTTGACAGTGATAGGTCATGGTAGTGATATGTAAGGTCAAAACAGCACGGTAACTAACGAGAAACTCACTCGTGTCCTGGACTCCTAGTCATCCACATAAAATAACTCTGATAAATCTTAAAATACACAACTCCATAGAAATTTGATACATCAAACTGAAGATCCAGAAACTGTCTTCGATATACTTTCAGAAACCATTAATACCAGTCACTTCCTAAATTTGTCCTATTCTCCCATTATCTTGCAACAGCTGACCTGTATATCTGACAAGGCGTATGATTTGGTTAATAACCAGCAATCATTAATTAAATTTATAACTTATGAAGAGTACATAATTTGTTAGTAGTTATCTATTTAAAGTCACTAGTTACATTTTTACATGTAAGGTCTGTCGACTGTCAGTCATTAATATTGGAACTCATCTGAATACTAACATAAGAAATATATTAATTCTAAAATTGGGATTAAAGTAAACAGTGTATATACAAAGAGATGCGTTCCTTTACTTTTATATACACTGAAATATCAGTACCTCTCAATGTATATACAACGAGAGATACACACTTCTCAGCTATATACATACCGTGATACACACATCTTTGTATATATATATATGTGTGTAAAATAACTAAACAGACTTAGTACCCCTTCAATAATTCTCCTTTCACAATTAGTTTTAAAGTGTAATATACAATATAGCTAATATTTTACAAAAGGATACTTTTAAAGTTAGTTTCTTATACTTAAGAAAATCAACAGTGATATTAAACAAAGATGAATAAACAACTCGCAAACTGGCCACTGATATTATACTGAATATGCGATAATAGTGACTGCATGATAGGATACCTCATGAATGTGATCCTTTCTAGATTATCTTCTTGATTGCAACATACTCAAGTTAGGAATTAGTGAGGACACCGGAAATATGAGTGAGGTAGAGATAACCATGTCTCACTATATCTCCCAGGACCATGCACCTCACCTCAGTGTGGTGCATGATCCTGGGCAACCGGGTCCCCTCAGGGGAGGGTCCTTGACGCTGGTAAGGGGATCTTGATTCAAGGAATTGGACCTACCCTTCCCTTTCTTGGATCGAATCTATATACCTCCCATTTCCCTTGGCGCCGTGTGACCCCTACAGGTTTATCTCTCCCCAATGAATGTAATAATGATAATGCAAGAGGCAGCTGGCCCAGAAGTGCATTAAGAGACATTACGTTTCTCTCAGCGGGAATTTTATCAACGGGCAATACGCAGCCAGCCCAGCAGTGGAATGAAAAAAAAAATAAAAAAAAAAAAAACATTGTTAATAGAGACGTCTGGCTAACGGGAACTTTTTTCCTCTTCAATATTATTACAAGAAAACGGCTTAAGTTTCTTTCTGACTCATGCTAGTTGTGAATTACAAACTACAGTAGTACCTGTGATGATTTATGAC